TAACCTTCTGCTTTTTGACTGTCTCAACATGGACTTTGGGTCATCTTTGATAATATATTTGGATAGTGGGAAGCATTATTGTTATTCATATTTTAGCACATCAAATAAATTTAGAGATCAGTTTCCTTGCATATCATATATATATATATATATATATATATATCTATCTGAATCTCCCCCAGAAGCAATGTTTTCCAGTGGCTGCCAGTTCTGATCCCACTCACTTTCCTATTCTGTAGCCAGGGCTATGAACTATATCAAGTCCCAGCATTCTCTTTCTGGAAAGATTTTGTCCATGCTTTAACTAAGCCTTCCACACCCAGCCCTAAATTCCTTTTCACAGCTTCTTATGTCTCTCTTAAGCTTCCCCTGAACTGCTCTCTGCAACCACCGTCTTGCTGCTGTCTCCTAATGCTCTTGAAAGTGTGGGTCATGTGTGCTTTTATTTGTTCTTTCTGTTTGATTTGTGACTTTTGGGAGAGTGTGAGTAGGAAAATTCAAGAACAAGCAGCTACTATTCATTGTCTTCCAAATCCCTTGTTCCATAGCAACTGGATTGTTTCCCCCATTGATATATCTCTGCTCCTAGATCAAGGCTTGATACATAGTAGGAACTCAATAAATTTACTGAAAATCATTCATTTGGGTTACCCCAGGGTGGGGTGGCGAGTCCTTGAATGAGAATGGCCTGCTGCCACTTGGCAGCTCTTCCTCGAGTTTGACCTATCTTCCTTTTATTCTGAGACCAGCACTAGCCCCAGACCTCAGGCTGATGACACTCCATTTCAACATAAGGATGCTGGATAGCGAGCAGACAACAAAATGTGTGTTCCCTCTGAAACTGAATCGGCAACATCAATGTACATTCCGAGGCTAGAGATGAATAAGTTAACTATTGTGGGAGGCCCTCTCTTTTGCCCCATATACATCTGCCAAGGACAGGTTAGTTTTACACACTAAAAACTTTATAGTAAAAATATCTACAAATTTATTTTATCTGAGCTTTATAAATTAGCACTCAAGTGAGAAAATAATGACAATAACATAATAAAAACAGTGCACAAACTTTGAAGAAATAATCACTATAAATTTGGTAATTCTAATAATTTACAATCTTCCTTCTTTTAATTATTCAACTCGCCCATCTGCCTTAAACAATTAAAGTATTAAATAGCTAGCTTTCAGATATTAATCTGGGGACGAATTTCACATTTGCTCGTTTTAAAAAGGATCCTCATTTCTATACTAGTCTTCTGAGGTGTACTCATCCTCAGAGACCATTATTTCAAACTACAATGGAATATTTGAAAATGATGGCAAGATATGATACTTAACACCTACCCTGTGCAGCAACTTTTACAGGTGAAATGAATGAAGGACCTACTGAATATCATGTTGTAAAAATGAAACATGGCTTTGTGAGTCAAGTTTTGGGAACATATTATGTAACATTATTTGTGATCGTGTCCAATTTCATTTTTCAAATTATCCCCTCAGGTGGTCAAATTCAGTGATGATCTATCCTTGACAACAACTCCATAAAGGTACTGAAGCTTCCACTTCATTGAAAATTCCATACCCTGAAAAACCTTTGCCACATGATTTTTTTTTCTCCCCCCCCCCATTACTGCCTTTCTTCTATTACCACTTACAACTAAATTGTTTCTCATTTCTCAAAGTAATATCTTCACACCCATCATTTTCCATTTTCCACTGCATTTTTCCTACAATTTCAGTAAAATCAAATTCCTGCCATTCACCTTGGTAAAAATATTTTTTCCTGACAATAACTGATATTATGAAAAAAGTCATGTCATTTTTTAAATTATATTTTTGACAACTTCTTCATGAAGTCTCAAAGCCTCCACATTTCATTCTAAGTCTTAATTATTACAGATTTTAGAGTTCAGAATACATTTATATAAAAACTTTAAAAAAACAATGTCAGTTAAATAGGTAACAACATCTGAATTTGAAAGCAAGCCCTCTTTCTTTTGAGATTAACATAATAAATTCATACTTGCAAAAGGACAGAGCAACTCATTTCAGAGCTGATGGCAGACAAATGGCATTAAAGGACAGGAAACAGTCTAGGATATCTACCAACATCATGGTAGGTGGCAGACATGACTAACTCTGAGGCTGCCAAAGGCAGCAGCCACTGGTACCAAAAGGTGCCAGATACTGTAGTTCCTGCCATTATGAAAACAAGTGAGTCTCCCAGGCTGCCAAGTGAGTCCAGTGATTAGCACCCACAAGTTCTAGAGCCAGAAAGTCTTCCTCTTAAAGACAACACTGTCAAAATAAGGCCCCATGTAATCCTAATAATGTCATAAATTTACCACGTTATTTTCTTATCGTTTACATACAAAGATCCTGTAACATTAGCATTAGTAATTCCAGCATGCTTGGTTTCCCAACAAATTTTAGGTAAACATATGGCAACATTTTAAATTCATTTCACCAGTGATATTTGAAAAGGTACAATTGTACTTGATGTAAAAGAATTGTAATTAGTGTTGAGGGTGAAAATTGTAACAATAGTTTCGGGGCTGTGATGTCAAAATATAAAAGCAGAAAAACACTCTTACTCATAAAAGTAATTGTACCTCTGACAGTCCCAGTAGGAGAGAGGGACACAGGGGCCCTCCCTTATGATGACAGTAAGCTTCAGATACACACTCATCAGTCATATTCAAACCTTGGCCTCCCCACTTTCAGAATAAACATCTTAAGTTGCCACTCTAACTTGGAAGGTAAGAATTTCATCTAAACTGCAATACCATTAAGATTAAAATAAATTTTGAGTTAATACAGAAAATCAGAGTAGGTTCATTTTATCAGGTCGCACTGTAGTGGTTAAAACAAAACAAAACAAAACAACAATGTTAGTAAAGAGAAAAATCCCTCTTTAAAATTCAAAATTATTTTCTAGATCATTATTTG